ACTGAGAAAGACACGGGCACAGCAGTGAAGGGGTGAACAAGCCATGCCTCCCAGGTTTTCTCTGCCTGTCTGGATTCTGCCAGGATGTTGCATACAGGTGAGGCCATGCATGGTCCAGGGGGGGTCTACGCATGGGAAAGGAGAGCCTCCAGCCTGGTGAGAAGGGAAGACCTTTCAGAGAAATAGGTAAGGCTGAGGGCTACTGGCTGGAGGGCCGAAGTGTAGACGCAAGTGAGGGCAGGCACTGAGGCTCTGAATGGAGAGATGATTGGAGTCTGGGGAGTCCCAGGGCTCAGGCTGGAAGCCCAGTGTGTGCCGAGGTTGTTCCTCTGTTCTTTGCATGTGTCGCAGGACGGGCAGAGGAAAGGATGCTCAGGGTGGGTGTCTGGTGCATCTCAAGGTTGTGGGAGAGGGATGGAGACCTTCAAGGTTGGGGCAGGGAGTCTCCCGTCCTTCCTGGCTCTTTCCTTCTTTTCCTGGCCTGCCTCACACCGGCCTATGACTCCTTCTCCAGTGGCAAGTAGCCATGTCTTGTTACTCTCACCTGGATTAGTTAGGGCCGGTTGAGTTTGAAGCTTTACTTACTCCTGATTAATTTTACAGTTGATCCCCTTCCTGGGGGAGTTGAAATAGCAATGAAATACATCTGATTTTAGGAGTAATTTTGTCAAAGTGAATTAAGGGCTATCCCTGGAAAAAGAAAGCCTGGTGACTGAGTTTTCCACCCAGTCTTCTCCCGACTCCCACTAACCGAAGCTTCGGTTCTGCTTGGAAGTGCACTTATGCTCTTTTCACTTTTTTTTTTTAAACTACTTGGGAGAATTGTCTCCTGTACATTGTTGTAGAGACTCGATAAATGAGACAGATAGAAGGGGGCAGGTGTGAGGAAGGGCCCGGAGTTGGCTGCCAGGTTACCTTTGTGATCCAGCTCTGCAGAAGCCACATTAATTCCGTGGAGACTCAACAAGACTGATATCCAGCAGTGACAGTTTGGACATCTACTCATGACCTTGGAAGTGCCCCAAGCCAGGATGGAAGCTGTGCCAGTTTTTCCATATAGTATTTCACAAGGGGGCCGCCTAACCACGCTGAAATTGGGTGTGTTGGAGCATGAGTGCTTCTGCAAATGGCCATGTTTGGCCCTGTGAGTGTGGTGCAGTGTGGTGAGACCACTTCCATTTCAGTCAATTTCCAGTCATTAGACGCTCACGAGAAAGCCCAGCGTGGTCCTCTCGTGTTCACCAAGAGGCTGCGAGATGCTCCCTTGATGGGCATCAGAAACAATTACCAGGCAGTTTAGAGGTTGTTGATCAGCCTGTCCTGCAGCAGCTCTGATCACCTGGTGTCTGGTTGCATTTAAGCTGCTGGAGGAGAAAATAGCCAGGACTCTGCTTCTGGCTTGTCAGAGTATGTCGGTCGTAAGAAAGTTCTATCCTATAAAGTAGTAGAAAAGTGTTTTAAATGAGAGTCATTTCCTCATGCCCATTGTGCTGCGGCTTTCATGTCACCAACAACCAGAGAAATGTCTAAATTAATGGTTCTCAAAATGGGGTCCCCAGCTCAGGTAGGGGCCGAGCAGTCTGTCCTTTATCAGGAATTACAGGTGGTTCTGGTGCTTGTTGAATTTAAGTGTTGTGGGGACTTTTAAAAAATATATAATTTATTGCAAACTATTTGCTTTACAATATTGTGCTGGCTTCTGCCACACATTAAAATGAATCGGCCACAGATATACCATATATCCCCTCTGTCTTGAACCTTCCTCCCATCTCCCACTCCACCGCACCTCTCTAGGTTGTCACAGAGCCCTGAGCCAAGTTCCCTGTGTCACACAGCAAATTCCGACTGGCTATCTATTTTACATATGATAATGGATATATTTCCATGCTACTCTCTTAATTCATCCCATTATGGGGACTTTTGAGAGGCCCTGGATAAGGACATTCAAGATACTGACTTTAGGGAAAACAAACAAAAACTGGGTTTGAATCTTGTTTCTGCAGCTTACTTATCAGGATCATCTTAATTCATTTGGATAATATTTGTTAGACTCAGTTAGCCTCATCTGTAAGTTGGCAATAATAAGTGAACCCAACCAAGTTTTTCGAGATGATAAAACAACACACAGCATACACTTGCAGTGTGCGTGTGCTAAGTCACTTCAGTTGTATCTGACTCTTTGCAACCCCATGGGCTATAGCCCGCCAGACTCCTCTGTCCATGAGGGATTCTCAAGGCAAGACTACTGGAGTGGGCTGCCGTGCCCTCCTCTGGGCCATCTTCCTGACCCAGGGATTGAACCTGCATCTCTCACATCTCCTGCATTGGCAGGTGGGTTCTTTACCTCTAGTGCCACCTGGGAAACCCCATAGACTTGCAGGGTACCTAGCATATAGTATTGTGTTCAGTAAACATTAGCCATGAGTATGAGTTTAGCCAACTCCTCCATTTGCGTCCAAGCAAAATCCTGAGCAGTGTTGCCCTTGAGGTCATGAATATGAATGACATCCCAGGTGCAATGCTAGCAAAGCAAGCTGTGGAGTGTGTTGTTCTTTAGGGATTTCACACCATTATGGTTCAAATCCACAGTTCAGTGAGGTAGCCTGAGAGGAAGAGCATCAGGTGTTCAAGGAAAGCACAGCCTCAGGGGAGGTCCAGCATCAGGTGCTTCCTCCATCGGCTGCACTTTCCCAGGTATGTTCAGGATATTGTTATCGCAGCTGACAGCAAATGTGCTCTAGACCGGCTCAGACTGCAAGTGCCTTCTGGTGACTGGAGAGCTTATTAAAATACAGGTTCCAGTTCATTACATCTGAGGTGGGGGCCTGAGAATCTGTGTTTCAAATAAGCTCCCAAGTGATGCTCATCTGCTGGTTTTCTGATCGCACTTTCCTGTGGTGAAGTGCTATTAATAGCTCAGTGCTCCTCAAGCCTTCATATGCATATGATTCCCTCTAGATTTATGCTGTTGAAGAAATGGTCTGGGGGCCGCCAGCCCTGTCATCTCCTGGGAGCTTACTGAAACTGCAGAATCTCAGGCCCCACCCCAGATGTACCAAATCAGAATGTGCATTTCAGTAAGAGTCCAAGGAAATTTATAAAATGTGACATCCATTCAGGGTGTGTGTTTATTCACATTGGACCCTGCTCTGGTTAAATGCCATGCTCTCACCGTCTTGAAATTCTTAATAATTCTTGAACAAAGGGTTCTGCATTTGCGTTTTGCACTGAAAACCACAAATCGTGCAGCCTGGTCCTGGACACCCCTCTCTACATCCGTGCTTTTCAAACTTAGGTGGGTACATGACCCAACTGGGGTATTGTTAGGAATCCGTGTGTCTGTCTTCCAAAAGATTCTGAATCTGTAGGACAAGAAGATCTGTAACAAACACCTCACCTGATTTTGATGCAAGTGGTCCATGCCCACTTTCAGAAATACTCCCCTGGTTAGCTTTCCCATCATTTCTCTCCTTTATTGTCCAAAAAAAAAAAAAGCAAAAACAAAAAAAGGCAGTAAGCGGCACGAAGCGAGCTGGACAGCGGACAGAGGTGTTTCTGGTTGAGCCGTTTTCCCCACAGGGGCTCTCAGTAAGCCTCCACACCTGCGCCTGAGAGGCCCAGCAATGATCCTGTGACATTTACACAAGGACGAGGGGAAAGGATGCACAGCACAGAAGAGCGGTCTCGAGAGGGACCGCCTGGGGGAGCGGGCGTGCCTGGCAGGAATCCTCAGGCTTTTTATGGTCACAGACAACTTTGAGAATTCAATGGAAGCCACTGTCCCTCCCCACTGGAAACCTCACCTTTGCACATCCTAAGGGGAACCAGGACTAGGAATTAGAACCTAGCTGAGAGGGCTGACTCCATCACCCCCTTGCTCTCTGTCCTGGGCAAGTCATCAGACCATTCTGACCCTAGAGGCCTGATCTTTAAGGCGGAGAATGTAAGATCATCTATCTCAGCAATTTGCTGCAAGAATAACAGTGTGGATGTAAAAGCGCTTTGTACTCTGCAGAAGAAGATATAAATTGGAGGCAATATTGTACCTACTGTGGCTCTGTTGCTATTTCCAGCCTTATACTCAGGATCAGGACACTGCATTTGTGAATTTAGCCTCAGGCCATAGAACATATTCTGTGTAGCTAGAGAAGGAAATGAATGCAGAGAAACTTGAAGAGGACTTGGCAAGAGTAGCTAGGAAATTTGAAAGTGCAGGAAAAGAGAAGGGAGCTTCCACAATTTGGGGACTCCAGATGCAGAAATAAAAGAAAGAAAATCTATTTTTACACGTGCGAACAGTTTTGAGATTTTGGAAAATGCCTTTAGTCTAGCAGTAATTGAACATTTCTGCCCCTGGGTGTAATGAAGAGAAATAGCAATGGTGGTGGTCTGTATTTAGTTTTGACTTCAAAAGCCTTCTGTTGGAATCTGCTATTCTAAGATGAGAGGAAGAATGTTTAGTAGTTAAAGTCTGGGTTTCTGATCTAACACATATTATCTGTGTGATTTAGGAGAGGCGTTCAGTGTCTTTGTTCTTCAATTCTTTTCACCAGTAGGACCTTCCTCATGGCGTTGTTATGAGTATTACACAACTTAATACACCCAAAACACTTAGAAAGTAATGTGAGGAATTATCATCATGCATATCATGGAAATCTCAGAGGGAGGGGAGGTGGGGGTAGTCCCAGGGCCCAGCTATTCTTGGGATGGACAATGACCCCAGGCTGTAACTATTGAATATTTAGGACTATTGAAACCACTCTGTGCTCAGGGGTTTTCAGACACAGAGTCAGTCAGGACCTTGCAAATCTGAATTAGCCAGTGTTCTGAGGCTGCAGTTCTGCAAGGCCTCTGATGCCGAAACCTAGGCCAAATCAAACAGGAGGTGCTTGTGCATACACTGGGGGCAGGGTGACCAGTCATCCCAGCCTTGCCAAGAAGACCCTGATGGCATCTATTTCTCTGTGCTCCCTTGACTCACCCATCTGGTCCTCTCCCAGGTGCACGATTGACAACCGGGTCACCCGGGTGGCCTGGCTGAACCGCAGCACCATCCTCTACGCTGGGAATGACAAGTGGTGCCTAGACCCCCGCGTGGTCCTCCTGAGCAACACCCAGACCCAGTACAGCATCGAGATCCAGAACGTGGACGTGTATGACGAGGGCCCCTACACCTGCTCCGTGCAGACGGACAACCACCCCAAGACCTCCCGCGTCCACCTCATTGTGCAAGGTAGGCAGCCTTGGGGGCGGCCACGGGTGGCTGGGAGGGCCTGTGTCCGACACTTTCACTGTGATCCTCAATTTAGATGAGACTGTCTGCTCCATCTGGCCAGGATGGTTTCCTGATTTTCGCTTTGCCCTTAGATGCTGAAATTTCAAATCATTTTCCCATTGAATAGGACTAGGATTTGGGGCCTTTTCTTTGCTCCTGATCCAATAATATATTGTCTCAGAAAATTATCTCCTCATTATTTTTTTCCTTGGTTTCTTTCTCCTCTGAGTTTTTTAAAGGTTCCATCCAGCACTAAGCGTGCTTTATTTTCAGAGCAGTGTGTTAGCTCTTCTGGCTCTTTGCATATGCCATCCCTCACACAGCCTGCAAAGAAGGCAGAACCGACTGCGGTGCTCAAGACACCTACCTGCGATGCAGCCGTTACAGTCACCTCTGCTGTTTGCAGCTTGCTTGCTTCCTATTTCCCCTCCAGCCCTGGGCCACGTCTCCCCTTTAATACCTGAGTCTGATTCTCTGTGTTTCGGTTGCACCCCACTCCCCTCCCGTTCCTCAGAGCCTCTCACCTTACCCCCAGCTTTTGAGATCTGTGTTTTTGCCTCTCTCTTACTTCTGCTGTCTCTGTGCTTCTCTGACGCTTCTGTCCTTCCCCATAAGCAGAGCACGTGCTAAACATTCAGACCACAGGTGACCACACAGACAGGTTCCTTGTCAGCGAGCCAGCGCTTTCTGACTTGGGGGAACCTCAAGTTACTAACTGTGTCTCAGGGTTTCCATCTGTAGAATGGAATCAGTGTTGCAAGCATCTGCAGTGAGGATTACACTTTCCATGTACTGGAATGTGAAACAGAAGGGGGTCTGGCACACAAAAATGCTATTTAAGTGTTAGCTAGGGCTTCCCTGGTGGCTCAGAGGTAAAGAATCTGCCTGCAGTGCACGGGATGTGGGTTTGATCCCTGCATCAGGAAGATCCCCTGGAGAAGGGAATGGCAACCCACTCCAGTACTCTTGCCTGGGAAATCCCATGCACAGAAGAGCCTGGCGGGCTACAGTCCTTGGGGTCGCAAAGAGTTGGACATGACTGAGAGACTCACACTTTCACTTTTAAAAGATACAGTTGTTTTTAACTTTTTAAAAATTATAGTTTTGTGTGGACCAGATACCTTATTGTATTACCTCAGAGGTGAAGCCCCCAAGTGATGGAGCTGGGGCCTCTGCTGGGGTTTCTCTCCTGTTCTTCATCCCTCTAGATGGCAGGCCAGGGGCAATATGCTCCCAGTCTCCAACAACCCCCTTGGCAGCACACCCACAGGGAGGAGAGAGCTGTGGATGGTGGGTGAAAATGCAGGGAGCAGGATGGTGGTTCAAGGATGATGAATAGGAAGGAGCTAGAAGATTCATGGGGAGCAAGCTGGGAGAAGGCAGGAGAGAGGGCAGCTGAGGTCAGGGTGCCAACTGTGAAAGGCAAGTCAGTGGGCAGTGATGATTAGAGGTCAGGCTGGAGGGACACTTGCTCAGGGATTAGGCCAGTGAGGCTTCTGAGCCCGTCATGCTGTGACACACCTTGGTCACACCACGTTGTTTGCATTTTATGTTTGTTTTTTTTCCCCCTCTTCTTTTTCCAAAAGAAAATGATGATGGCTTTTTTCTTTTGTTGGTTCTATATATGAATATTTTTCAAACTGCTGAGTACAAACAACATTTTTTAAAGGAAATGAAATTGCAGAGACAGGATCAGAGTGTATCACTAACAGAAGAATAGGTTTTGTTCCTTGAGATGGTTTCAGTGGGTGAGCGTGTTATTGTTGTTGCGAAGAATTGGCCAGAAGAAGGCTGAGAATCACTCTTCCTCAAGGGGATTTGAAGGATGCCCCAGTGGCTCAGGTCGCAGCAGGTGGTGTGTCTGAAGCCACACCGCATGCCCCCGGCCCCATTCCCTCCACACACACACTTACCGCTGAGAGTGTCTGACAGTGACAGAAAGACCTTAGGAGCTCTGCACCATCACAGACACTTGTGTTAGGCAGCAGGGCTTTTTTGGAGCCGGAAAATGGAAGGAGTTGTGAGAAACTCGGAAGCCCCCATGAAAACAAGGATCATGTTTGTGCCATTTCTTTCTTAAGTTCCCCTCTCCTTCCTCCCACACACCCATACACTCTTGGCAAGAGTACCTGGCAGGTGTCTTCAACAAAGTGCGCATTTAACAAATGCTTCTTGAGCAAATGGCTGGATTGTAGCCACAAGGCCTCACACAGACTCAAAGAGGGGAGGTTGGGTGTATAGGGGTGGGGAGGCGTGAGGGGCAGGGCATAGGGGATGGGGTCTACAGCAATACTCCCTCCTGTCCACGCTGATGGAAAGTGTCTAATCCGCAGCTCAGCATTTATACCTCTGGCTTGGAGAGGTGGCCTCTGAGCATGACACACCTCCTTGAGTATCGAAATCTCATCTTGGGCTAATTTTCGAATGCTGATGGGTGTATTGATCTGGAAACGAGCAGGGTTAAAAAAGGCTCTGGTCTTGTCCACAGACTCAGCCCCAGCTAACCTGCTGTCGATATGCCTGGACCAGTCATTATTGACACTTTAATGAATAGAGGACCATGGTTTCTCGGAGCCAGCCTTCTCCTGCTCTTAAAAGCAATCAGACAAACTAAATACAGCCAAGCTTCCCTGTTTCTGTATTGGAAAGAGGATGCATCACCATCCAGGATTAAAAAAAAAAAGAAACGTATTTATCTTGGGATCATTTATTGTTCTGAACATAAACCTCATTCCCTGCAAAAGCGGACTTCTGGATTCTGTTGACATCCCCAGTCAAACTTTTGCAAAACAGTGTTGAAATGAAAGATGTATGAACTTTTCAAAACTGTATTGTGATCATTAAACACACACTCACAGACAGACACACACATCATAGCAGCAGCAGAAAGGAAGTAAACTGATATTTTTACCCAGGAGTGTGTGTATTTGGGTATGCGTAGTCAGCTTCGTACATAAATAAACCCACACAAAAGGAGGGTAATTTTTTTTTTCACAGGATCACATGAGCTTATTGAAGTCTGGGATTATGTTTCCCTCATTCCTATCAAATACCCCTGTTGCCCGACTTATTCTTTGTACGGGGTCTCCTCTCTGGTTGTGATTCTGTGTGTTTATTCCCTGCTAAGGCCTGGTTCCACCCTTGAATCTGCCTCAGTATCAGCCACTCTGCCCTCTGTACCTGCCCCCACCCTTGCCTTCATTCATAAAGGTGAGGGTGGGACATAAATCACCACTGAGAACAACTCTGCTTCCCAGGACCCTGGCCCAGCTCTAGGCACATGAAAATGAATGAAATGCCACCCAGAAGCATGAGTTCCCCTTCATGGGGAGTGGATGGAGTTGGATGCCACACCCAAGCCCTCCCCAGGAATTTAGTTTCTAAGTTGCTTCAGTCATGCTCGACTCTTTGTGACCCTATGGACTGTAATCCACCAGGTTCCTCTGTCCATGCGATTCTCCAGGCAAGAATAGTCGAATGGGTTGCTGTGCCCTCCTTCAGGGGATCTTCTCAACCCAGGGATCAAACACATATCTCTTATATCTCCTGCATTGGCTGGGGGGGGGGGGGTTCTTTACCCCTAGCGTCACCTGGAAAGCCCCTCTGGGAGTGTAGACTTTGGCTAAATCCTTCTGGGGCTCCAACTTCCTCCAAGCCCCTGGGTCCTCTCACCCCACTGGTGTGTGATCAGACATTGTAATAGCATTCAGAAACCATCTCTACAGAGACCAGGCTGGTCCACTTACGTGGCCCCCACGTTTCCCAGGGCCACTGGGCAACTGGCAGTCCTCTGGCTCAAGGTCAGGGCTAAAGGCTGGGATTTTCCTTTCCTGAGTCTTCCAGAGCTTGAGCTCTTAGTGTATCTTCAGCCTTTCCACCCTCAGGGCAAACCTTTCACGGTGTCAAGTTCTAGAGTTGTCCTTGGTTCCCTAGGATATTTTTAAAAACCTGCTGATAATCTGTCATGTCCTTATAGTAAAAGAAAAGGGAAAGAGGGGGTGTTCAGTTCCTTTTATTAGTGGGTCCATCTCTTCTTGTCTCACTACCTGTAGCTGTTGCGTTGTATTTTCTGTGTGTGGGGGGGTGTTTTTTTGTTGTTTTTTTTTTTTTAGGTAGACAGCTCTGGAGCTACCTAAATTCTCCCGGAGCTTTCCAATGCTGGTGAGGGGTGGGGTGGTTTCCAAAGGTCCCGGCAGGACTGGTGAAGTGACTGGAGTGGGGACGGAGGTCAGGCAGGCCTGGGCTGCAGGGAGAGCCCTGCAATGGGCAGCCCGGGGGGTGAAGGAGCAGCTCTGGAGTTGAGCCATAGAGAGCCCCGGGCAGAGGAGGGGAGAGTGTGAAAGCCCAGGGATCTCAGCCTGCATGGGCAGGCGTGTAAGAGCAGCCGGCAGGATAGAGTTGATGGTGCTTCCGATTTGCACTGTCCCAGTACAGCATCGGGGAGGAGCCCAGGGAGTCACGTGGGGCGAGTGTCCCAGGCAGGTCGGGAGCAAGGGGCAGCCTTGGGAGGAGAGTGGTTCTGGAGCAGGTGTGGGAGGGAGGTGGGGGCAGGCCGCCGGGGCTGGTGGCAGGAAGGATGAGGGCCAGACGAACAGGTGAGCTAAGTAGCTGCTCAGCAAGGTGGCTTTGAAATTAAATTCGAATTAGCTAAAACCAAATACAATTTAAAAATCTACTCCTTCAGTCACACTGGCCACATTTCAGATGCTTCTAGAGCTACAGGGGGTGGTGGCTCCTGTGCTGAACGGTGCAGACGGAATGTCCCCAGCGGCCTTGAGCCATCACCTGGGCAGCAGGTGCTGAAGCCTGGGCTTCATTGACTTCAAAGGCCGGGTGTGGGGTGGAAACAGGGATGGGATTTTGGAGAGAAGATGGAAATTAGAAAAGATGGTGGTGCTTTAAATACAAGAGAGAACTTTAGGAAAAGATGTAGGTCTGGGGCTCGTCTGTTAGCTGTA